TCAAATCCAATGCAATTGCAAGCAGCAACCACCATTAAAAGTTTTATCGCTATAGAAATATTATGCAATATCCTGTAATTGATTTTTAACTTCACGTGTGGTTGAAGATATACTTTATACTTAATAAATAATTTCACCATTGTGTTTTGATCAAAATTTTTGGATATGTCAATCAATTCATCATCAAAATCATCATAGATTCCCTCGTAAAAATCACCTACATAATTTCCCAAAAAAAGTTCGATTTTTGAAGAACTGGCCAAGTTAATTGAAACCTTTGAATTTTTGAAAGGTCAATGGTTAACTACCTTATTAGATTAGATTGAAAAGCCTAACCCAACTAAGTGGCTAGTTTATCTAGTTAACCAATTGAACAACTAGGCCGAGTCGAATTTAATAACAAAGGTTAACACATCATTAAATTTTACATCCACAAGTTCTCGTGACATTAATTTCCATTTTGATGGGAGGCTAGTTAAGGAAATAATGAGATTAAATGTTCTTTCAACAATTGATGGTAGGATTTTGAAGACCATAGGTCATAAAATCCTTGGTTTTGATGATTAATAAATCTAAATGAGGATTTCAACTATTGTTTTCAATGAGAGATTTTTTTAGATCAAATCCATACTCAATAAGGAAAGAAAAGAGGAAGCACGAGAAGGGCAAAAAGCTTGTTAAGAGAATCTATGATGATCGGAAGCAGCTTCAAACATTAGTTCAAGAGCATTGGTCAGCTGAAACATGACAAAAAGAGCACTTTGGTAATTGAATGTAGCATCACATAATGGTCCAAACTATCGGCCATCTAAACCCTCATAAGAAATTATTAAGTAGCTATTGTCTCCTATCGAGCACTCATGTTAGAAGGATGGGCAATTTGCCTGCTATCCAAAGCTTTACTGGAAGCAATGCTATATTTGATTGGATGCAATAATCATATGAAGTGCAGGCAACTGGATGCCCAAATGTCCCAATTGCTAGTTTTTTCTACATTAAACGCATGACTGTTGGAGCCATTTTTCCTACCATTTTTCAGCACTTATATAAGATTTGAAACTACACTTATTGAAGAACTTTTGCCTACATTGAATACAAGTTTTCTTGAGTAATTATGTGTGATAATACTCTTTCTTTGTACTCTTGCATTCTTTGTGAGGTTGAAAAGCAAATTGCAGTCTTCATTATTAGAGCAAGCTTTCAATTGTCACATTAGAGGGTTAGTTTTAGAGAGTTGTAAACTCCTTTGACTCAATTAGAGTGAGTTTAATGTGGGTAAAGGGTGAGCCATTCTATGTACAAATTGGTTTGTTTCACCAACTTTTGGATTGAATTCTAAACCTAATGGAGCTTGGGAGTGGACGTAGGTGCCAAAGAAAGTATTGAACCATTATAAATTAGTTTGCAATTCCTTTTACTTTATTGCTTTCTTCTACTTGCTCAATTATATGAATTAATTGTTGTATCTTTATTGCTTTCTATTTACTTAAATGTGTCATCACTTAGGTTAATTTGGCTGGTGAAAAATTTAGATTTTTATCAGCCTAATTCACTCCGGCTAAATCCTCAAAATATTGTCAATTTCTAAAAAAAATCAACCAAATGCTAGTCTGCAAAAGCATAGTATCAAACTATGCCAGTCGCGCCAACATGGCGCGACGGGCTCCAAATTTTCACAAAGAAAGCTACATGACGTGATGGCCCCACAAATTTTTTTTTTAACAACCTGTCAAGCCGTCGTGCCACCATGGCGCGACGGCTTACAGGATTTTCCATGCTTTTCTGTCTCGTCATGAACGCTCTTTTGGTTTTTCTTCAGAAAAATTGTATATAGAAATTTGTAAAATAAGAATTAGGGTCGGTAAAACCATTTTACCAAATGTAGAAGTGTTTAGGGTTTACACATTATAAATAATTTGTAAGATTTACAAATTAGTAAAGTGATGGTTTGTTAATATTAACTTTGTTCATATAGTCTTCTAACACTTAGCTGTATCAAATTAGGGTTTATGGTTTAGGGTTTACAATTTACAAATTAGGGTTTAGGGTTTACAAAATCAACTGTAATTGTATAGAAGTAGAAAGGAAAATTTGCCAAATTGGTCCCTAACATTTACCAAAAACACTTTTTTAGTCCATAACATATAAAATCAGCCAAAATTGTCCCTCACATTTAAATTGTGATCCAATTTGGTCCTAATGCTTGTTTTTGCTCATTTCTCCGGTTAAAAATAGCACACCTCTCTCACGTGGTCATATTTTTAGGGGCAAAACCGGAAAACACATTTCATTACCGGTTGAAAATAAAAGGATAGGGGACCACCACCCCCTTTTCACCTTTTTCCCTTTAATTACAGTTTCAAGAAACCCTAAATTGCATCCCCTAATTAACAAGCATAACTTGGAAATGTTAGTGACGATGATGACGACGACAAAGCTGTAGGGTGTGATTGAGAAATGATCGAAGGTTTAGCCAGAAAATCGTGAAGAAAATCTTTGAAAAGATGCAGAACGAATCAGGAAAATGGAACTTCACAATGGATTACGGTAATTTTTTTTTTTTTACCAATGTGGTTAAAAATTGTTGACGAATCTTGCTTAGGACTGTATTTTACTTTAATTAATTGAAGATTGTTCATTATTTTACTTAGTTTTGTTGTGGTCCCCAATTTTTATTATGAAAGGCTCCACCTTTCTGTCATGGTCCCAAAGTAATTGTCGTTTTAATGGCTGACAGGGGCCAATGAGATGCATTTTTCTATTCGTTTACACTTTGGAGGTGAACTTAGAGATACAGGAAATAGAGACTATATAGGGGATTCGGTTGACATAGTTGATGGTTGTAATCCAAAAAATGGTCTCTGTGTAAGTTGGACGAAGTAGCTAACAAACTTGGATTTGAACCTTATACAGTGGGTTACTACTATCTGATTCCTGATAAGAATATGGCAGATGGATTAGTGTATATGTTGCAGGAGGATGATACTGCTGAATTGGCTAAATTAGGGATGATGTATGGGTTAGTTGATGTGTTCTTCATTCATCGAAGAACATATAATCTGTCTCATTTTACTGGTGATGAAGAAGGAAGAAGGAATGATAGTAATAGGAATAATGAAGAATTTGTACATGTGGCCACACCCGAGCATCTTGGCGAAGAATCTGTACATGTGGCCACACCAGAGAATGTTCAAGAAGATTTTGAACATGTGGCCACACCTAATTTTGCTACTGATGGTGGTTTTCAAGACGCTAACATGGATGGAGGAACTTCTTCACGTACTGGTAAAAGAATGAAACAGATTGCGAAGAAGAGAACTTCACCTGCAAAAAGATTGAAAATGCAGTAGAGGAGAAAGGATGTTGGCCATCAAGATGTTGCTGCTCAAAGTGGTGTTAGTGGCAGGAGTGGATCATGCCAAAGTGCATCTCAAACCCAAAACAAAAGTAAGCATGGTGAACATGAGACTGGAGGAGCTACAGAAACTCATGTTGCTGAACATGAAACTCCTGATGCTGCTGAATATGAGACTGCTAAAGCTGTAGAAACCGATGTAGGTGAACATGCAACAGATGGAGCTACAGAAATTGATGGTAATGGAAATGAAAGACATCGCAAAGGCAGATAAGAAAGAAGAGCACCAACTAAGTCAAGAAAGACATCCAATAGAAAGGCTGAAGGTAAAAAGTCATTCAAAAAAAAATAATGAGCAGATCATAGAGGATATTGTCTCAAGTGATCCCGAGAGTCTGTATGATAGCGAATATGCTACAAGTGATGAAGAAGAGCTAATGAAATCTATTAGTGATATACCTGCATATTGGGCTAATGTTGCTAAACAGTTCAAGACAACAAAAAAAGGTAAAAAAAAGGTACAGGAAACTGCTGTCAACGAAGAAGATAATGAGTGCAGCATGGAGGAGTCAGATAATTCATCACATGATGGGCTGCACAACAATGAGAGTTCTGGAGATGAAGGAGGGAGTAAGGATGTGGACAAGAAGAAGTTTAGGGTATTCAATCCTGCAACAGAGATGGATGACCCAAAGTTTGAACTTGGGTTGTTATTCAAGTGTAAAACTGACTTTATCAATGCTGCAAAATCACATGGAGTGAAGTATGGAAGAAAATCACATTTAAGAAAAATGATTCAAACAAATGCAAAGCCATATGCAGAGGCAAAAGATGCATGTGGAACATATATTGCTCAGTTAGGAGTGATAAAGTGACATTCAAAATCAAAAGCATGCTGCTGACTCATACTTGTGGTAGGACAACCTATCATGGCCTGGCAAGTGTGACATATTTGGCCAACAAGTATTTGGAGGACATTAGACTGAACCCAAATTTTAATGTAGGTGATTTTATGATAAAGGTCCACAAGGACTTGGGAGTTAGTATCACACCTAACGTGCGGTATAAGGTAAGGAAAAAAGCTAAAGAGGTGATACATGGTGATGTCATGTCCCAGTACAGCAAATTTTGGAGCTACTGTGAAGAACTTCAAAAGGCAAATCCTGACTCTAATGTGTTCATGACTACAACTGAGAATAATAAGGGTGATGATGAGTATCAAAGATTCTATGTATGCCTAGATGGTTGTAAAAAAGGGTTTCTGCAGGGTTGTAGATATGTTGTAGGTCTTGATGGATGTCACTTAAGAGGCTGTCATAAGGGAGTTCTTCTCACAGCCGTTCGTATTGATCCAAATGATCAACTATTTCCAATAGTGTATGCTGTAGTTGAGACTAAAAATAAGAACTCTTGGAAATGGTTTGTAGAAGAGCTAAGGTGACCTTGAAATTATTGATGAAAACATTTGGACATTTATAACCGACAAGCAAAAGGTAATATATAACTAACTTTATCAGTCTTGTTGTTATGATAGCACTTAGTGACAGTAATATAGGTTTGATTTTTTATTTCATTTATACAAGGGCTAGTTCAAGCTATTCAAGAGGTATTGCTAGGGGTTGAGCATCGCATGTGTGTGCGGCACATGTATAATAATTTAAAAAAACAACATCCAGGCCTAGCTCTCAAGGAAAGGATATGGGTTGCAGCACGAGCTTCCTATAGGGACATATTTGCTGGATTGATGGAGTCACTAAAAGAGTTTGATGAAGGTGCTTACAGTTGGTTGGTAAACCATACTTATCCAAAGGAGTGGATAAGATCACATTTTAGAACAAGTGTAAAATGTGATATTTTGTTGAATAATCTGTGTGAAAGTTTTAACTCCACAATCCTTGATGCTAGGCAGAAACCAATTCTTGACATGTTGGAGACCATTAAATTTTACTTAATGGTTAGGATGGAAAAAAAGAGGGAATGGATAAAGAAATACACTGGGGAGATATGTCCTAAAATTCTGAAAAAGTTGGAGAAAAATAAGCTTGCTGCAAATGACTGCATTCCTAGCCATTCCAAGGACGGGAAATTTGAAGTTAGGTGCATGTATGGTGATAGGTATACTGTGCACCTTATTAGTAGATGTTGTAGTTGTAGAAAGTGGGGCCTTAATGGCATTCCTTGTGCACATGCCATTGCTGCAATTTGTGACATTGGAGAGGAACCCGAGAAGTTTGTACATGATTGCTACTCCAAAGAAGCTTATATGAGAGCATATGAACCCATGATAAGCCCAATGAATGCTGAGCAAATGTGGAAAAATTCTGACATGCCGCCCGAGCTATCTCCTGAGAACATAAAACTTCCTGGTAGACCATGAAAGGCTAGACGAAGGGAGGCAGATGAACCAGCATTAGGTAAAAAACAAAATAAGCAGCAACAAAAGCTGTCTAGAATTGGGCAGATGGTGTATAAGTGTCGAAAATGTAACAAGATTGGCCACAATAGTAGGAAGTGTCCAAGCCAGACACAAAATGCCTCTACTGAAACTGATTCACATAGATTTGTTAGACCTACACCTCCAGTTCCCAAGTCAAATACTCAAATGTCTGAGGATCTCACGGCAGATGCACCATTGGGAAGTCAACAGTCTACATCAAACTATTCTACTGCTGCAAGTATTCCAGTGAGTATCATAAACATCTTTGGCTTGTCAAATACTCATATTTTACCTTTATGTTGTCTAACAAGCCTTCGTTAAAATTGTCAAGGTGGAGAATATTGAGAAGTACAAGTGCTCTATCTGCCACCAATATGGTCACACCAAAGGCAGGTGCACTTCCACTGTTGCAGAGCTTTCTCGAGGGCAGACACATGAATCTTCCAAGATCAGTGGAAAGCAAAAGGAAAATTGAAGTGCTGGTGGCTTGTTTAAGCATCTTTTGGTGGCTTTAGCTACAACTTTTATGTTGTATTTTGCTTTTAGGATATTATAGTTCATGTATTACGACTTGAGCTAAGACTTTTGCACTGTTGTAAAGAACATCTTAGCTGTTAGTTTTTGCTGTAAATATTTTGTTGTTAGTTTTTGGCACTGCTGTAAAGAGCATCTTGGCTGCTTCAAACATTTGGTACAAAATTCTGTAGCTTATTGTCTTCAAATTCAATGTTAAGAGACATGGCCATTCATCAGCTTTCTTTTACATTAGCAAATTTCCATTTCCGACAATCAATTGGCCAAAAAGCAGCTTTGCATTCATAATTGTAAATGGTACAAACATGAGCCTTTCCTATTACACAATAATTAACAAAAGTGTAACAGTTACTATTACAGAACCATTAACAAAAGTGCAGTAGGTACAAAAAGCCTCCTCATATTTTGGATACTGCTACATACTCTCGGATTCACAGCCTTCGATAAAGCCAGACACAATTAAAACATGTTAGACCCACCAATAACTATCTTCCAATTTTTGTTTAATTCCAGCTTATTAACAGCAGCAAAGTGAACTTCCAAGAGGCAACCACAACAATCCAACAATTTCTCTCTTCGGATTCTCTGTTCTTGATCAGCTTGTAACCGGTTGATTGTTCTTAATAGACCAGGTATTATTGACACAGATCTGCTACACATTGGCGGGTCATACCACTTGAAGTAGCCACAAGCACGAGTTACCTAAAATGCACGAAGAACATCAGATATCAAGACTACATTTTAACCCCACAAAGAAAACCCAAACTGACCTGAAATTTCAAGAAAGCTTACTCCATAATTTGGACAACCATAGAATCTTCTCCCCGGATTTGCAGGTTTCCAAGAAGTCACAATGATGGGCTCCTTTCCACAAAGACATCGCTCGTTTGGATCCATTTTACTCTTCAATGGTCAGTTTCTTCTTCCCAATTTCTTCCTACTGTGTTTTCCATCTTCAATTTCAGTAGGTTAGTGAGGCGATTAGATGAAGGAAAGATGGCTTCTTTCAATGGATAATGAAATGTGTTTTTCGATTTTGCCCCTAAAAATATGACTACGTGAGAGAGGCTGCTATTTTTAGCCGGAGAAATGAGCAAAAATGAGTATTAGGACCAAATTGGATCACAATTTAAATGTGAGGGACAATTTTGGATAATTTTATATGTTAGGGACTAAAAAAGTGTTTTTGGTAAATGTTAGTGTCGCGCCCCACTTTTTGAGTACGTGAAAGTAGTGTGTGGGATATGTATGTGAACGTGCGTGAAAATGAAAATAAAAGGCCGTGGGATTGTGAAATGCGACGGTTTGGCCAAACAAAGTTCAAAAAGGGTTTTTGAATGGAAAATGGAGTCGCCACTTGGTATAGAGTTAGGGTGTACCAAATCACCCAAAAAGTGATTTTTTGGAAAGAAAAGTAAACAAACCCTTTTTAAAGAACTTTTAGGTCTACGTAACCAAAGAAAGGGATCGGGGGTCACATTTGATAAGGGAGAAGGCAAAGGCAAAGCCTAAGGCACTCCCTTACCCTAGCCAAAGCTAGTTGCGTGACTTAGCCATTCTTTTCTTAATTCTTCTACCCAAAATATGTGTTGCATGTTGGATGTGACTAATGGATATGAAAAAAATGCAATCCTAAATCTAAAATGTCACTTATGAGGTTTTTTGGTCCCAATCACATGAGTTGTGATGGCCAATAAGGAAAACTCTCATAGAGGTCACGGGTAATGCAAATGAAGACCCAAATATGAGTGCAAGTGTGAAAATGTAAGAGGAATGCAAAAGAAAATAAAAACACAAATGTAAGTGCAAGTGTGCAAATGTAAGAAAAGTGCATGTGTGCAAATGTAAGAAAAGTGCATGTGTGCAAATGTACGAAAAGTGCATGTGTGCAAATGTATGAAAAGTGCATGTGTGCCAATTGAGAAAATAAAGGTGTTTGTGTGCAAATGGATGAAAATATGATAAAATAGAAGTAGATGCATATAAGTGCAATTGGGTGCAATTTATGAGGTAGAAAATAAATAAGTGATAAGAAAAATGTGCGAACATGGCATGTGGATTGAGAAAAATATAAGTAGTGAGAAAATGTGGATAAAGAAAGTGAGGAAGTGATATGATAAAAATGAGAGTGTATGAACCTAGAGGAATGCATCAAGTCGGGTACGGGAATGACTTCTATCTTCATGATTTTAATTTTCCCTTTGATTAGAAGGAAGAACTAGCGTGCTAAGGCTATTTTGTAGCCACACTCGCTCGTTTCCCTTACCTAAAGGGGACTCTCAAGCAAATGTACCCTATAACTAGCATGAGGATGCAAAAACCTAAAATGAAGGGGAAAGGATTGGAGGAGCATGCCAAATGCTAGAAAACTAAGAAAAATGTATGAAATGTAGTGAAACATGCAAGTATGTACTAACGAGAGGGAACGGCCTATTGAGTCTAGCATTGGACTAGCCCTTTTCTAAAATTCTCTCACAAGCATTGGACTTGCGAGAGCCCGAGGGGACAGACCATGACCAGCGTTGGACTAGCCACGGTGACGTCACACATTCATTATAAACCAAATAAATCATGTAAAGGCTAATAAAGCAAATAAACACATAAATCACATATTGCACATAACACATAAGCATGGTATCTAGATGCAAGACCCTAAGAAAGCAAGTAACACGTAGCACACAAGCATGTAAATCACACCAATGAACCTATTACATTGGCTAACTAAAACAAATTGGGGAAGAGGAAAAATGAATAAAAATGCTCTCCAAGCCCTATCTATTACAAGCCAAGAGGTGTACACATACCCCATAAAAGAATAACTTAATAAAAGCAAAAGTAAATGAAGTGAATGAAAGGAATTAAGGAAAAGCAAGGAAAGCAAAGTAGACATGCAATTCTCACTTAGCACGTTGGTTCACATAGGGGAGAGACAAAAAAGATAAAAGAAGTTATACTTCCCTTGAAATGGAGCTCTAATGGGGTGAAGTCACTTATTTATCCTTCAAAATAAAAGAAAAGGTCAAGGCACTAATTTAATTGAGAAAAATTAAAGAAAGTATGCAAACACAAGCTCGCTTGGTCAGAAAGCCCTTAAAATTATGAATTAAAAGCAATTTAAACAAAGCATGGTAGTTAATTGAAGCAAATAAGCAATGAAAAGTGGTAAAATTAGAGCTGCCAAGGACCAAATTGAGGAAATCATTCAATTGATTGGGTCCTAGTAGCATTAAGGACAAGCCAAGGGGTCAAAGTGTGATATTCAGAAAGTTTTTCATGCATGCAACGAAGAAAAGCCTTCCTTATCTGCACCAATTCAGCCGCAATCCTTTTTTCATTTCCTCATGCCAAGCGAGTTTAACAAATACCAAGGTTTCAACTATCAATTACCAACTAAATGAAACATGAATTTTTGTTGCAAGATTGAAACAAAGCATTTGAGTCGACCCAACAGCAAGGGAAAGGGAAGAAAGGCAGCAAGAAACGCAAGAGGTTTCGTGCATCAAGAAGACAGCACAAGCATCAGCAGCTCGACGATGCATGGAAATGTAAGAAGACAGCAGGAGCACGAAAAGATGAACCCGCGGTGAACATGCACACAACATACCAACCAAAAGCCTAAAAAATGCAAGCTTCAAACTATCCCAGAAAACCAGTCCAAGCAACGGGACACAAATGCAGCAAAAGAAAGGAGTGAAACTTGCGGCAAAGTCAAATATGCATATGATTGGATCATTCCACTGAGGTAGATAAATGACACTAGACTATGAACCCAAAGACATGCAACTTTAGTAAATTTCTGGAGCTTATCCGAAGTTTATCTGATGCTTTTTGACGTTAGCAAACTCCCGTGACAGCAATAAAATTTGACAGAAAAAAGGATTCAATCTCCAAGTTTAACATCGAAATGTAATGACAAACGCAGAAATGAAAAGGAAAACAGAACTGGAAGGAAGCTTGCTCGGAATTATTCACTTTATTCTTACCAATCTGAGTTTTCGGCTAGACTACGGTATATCAGCCCCAATAAACAGTTTGAAGTAGAAAGCTTACCGCAACAACATTAACCACCAGATTTCGTTTCCCTCAGAAGATATTTAAACAATGGATGAAAGGAACTGGGGACAAAGGGGATAGGAAGATAAAACCATGGAATGCTAAGATCAGGCGCTGAAGCTTCGAATCAGACTTCCAAAAAAATGAACCCAAAACGAAACAAAGTGCACAGATGGCCTTTTCTGCTAAGCTCTCAAACATTCTCACAATATCTCAGCCAAACAATAGACAAATTAAACATTTTGAGCAAGACAACACTTCAGCAAACCATTATGACTCAGCTTTCTAACGAAGAAGCGAATCAACAAAAACACACAAACGTTAACATTGATCGACTGAAGGAAATCAGCACC